GGTGATATTACAGGCAGCCCACAACTTACAACAATTAGTGACCATTCAAAGTTACAACGGTACTTTAAAAAAGTGACTTAGGAATGTTTTTCACACTTACAACTTTTGATCTCCATGGTCACGGGCTCAACATTCAGTCGCTTTGGCAACTGACTCATATTTATGACCGTTGCTGTGTCCTGGGGTCATGGGATCCCCTTTTACGACCTTCTGACAAGGCAAGTCAATGGGGAAGCCAGGTTCACTTCACAACTGTGTTACCATCTTACTAACAGCAGTGATTCACTTATCAACTGGGAGAAGAAAAGTCATAAAATGGGGCAGACTCACAGGTGTTTCACTTAGCAACAGAAGTATTGGGCTCAATTGTGGTCATAAGTCGAGGACTACCTGCATATAGCTGGAGAAGCCCTGTGGATGAGTTCTTTGAGGGGTCCTTGGTACCCTCTGAGCTTGTTGATGGTGGTGGAGGAGGAGGACTGTGAAATCCTTGATGCTCTCTGAGCTTGGTGCTTTTCTTGCAGATGTTTCTTGACCCAACTAGGGAACATCATCAGTGCAAACCAAACTCCCTTCCCTTCTCGCACTGGAGATGTTCCCTAGTTGGGTCATGAAACATCTGCAAGAAAAGCACCAAGCTCAGAGAGCCTCAAGGATTTCACAGTCCTCCTCCTCCACCTCCTCCTCTTTCTTTTCCTCCCCCCTCCTCCTCCACACACCCCACTCCCACCTAGCACTGAAAATGTTCCCCACTTGGGTCATGAAACCTGTGCAAGAAAACCAGCCATCTCAGAGAGCATGATCACTCTAAATGAATGGCCGTAAGCGTCCGCATTGGAAGCCACTTTTTACTTGGAAGCTTTGAGGCTGCCACATTCGGTGCCTGGGAATCTGGGAGGGGGGGATTTAATAGCGGCGGAGAAGACTAGACACAATAACATTCTTTCTCAGAGAGTCAAGGACAAGCTGCCCTGCACCTGGAGGGGAGTGACTGGAAGGATGTCTCCAGTGGGGAAGGAGATTTGGTTGGGCCGTGTGATGGATTGGTGGGTGCAGGGATTTTTTTTAATTATGCAGGGAAAACCTGGAGCTCTCAGATCCAGGTTTTACCAGGTATGCCAATACGACAACTCTAATAAAATGGATGTCAGTGTTCCAGAAAACCTCCACTCCAACCAGTAACTCCGAGACAGATATCCTCTCAAAAGTTCTGTTTAATTTGGACAGTAAACTGGCACATCTGGGGCATCCCGAATCTGAAAGTTCCGGCTTCCCTGCAATAAGTCAAAAATGACAAATCCACCCCCTACACCCATCATGGCATCACATGCCCCAATCACCCTCCATCCCAACCTGAGACGTCCTCTCACCCAGGTGCAGAAAGAACATGACCTTGACTTAGAAGAAGAATGCTATTGTGTCTAACTACATACACTCCTCCCACTTTCCCAGGCTCAAGAAGGTGGCAGCGTAAGAAGCGTTCGGTGCTAATAGGGCTTCCAAGGGCGACAGTGGAATTTAGAGGAAATATCTGTCTCGGAGTTTATTGGTTTGGAGTTGGTGAGTTGGAACGCCGACGAGTAAGCCAAGGATTACCTCCACAAGAGTAAAGGGGACAAGCTTTCTGCATTTTATTTTATTTTTATCCTGTCGTTAGTAAAGTGCATTGCTGCCCGTCCTGCCAGAGGGAAACCCTTGTGGGCCTGCCTATCCGCCAGTCTGAGGCTTTAGCCAGGCCGTCCTCTGCCATGCGCTTCCGCTGCTTTGCCACCCTGCCCTGCTGAGCCTGTGCTGAGCTGCTGCACTTAAATGGCGTCCTTGTGCCTTCACAAAGCCAGTGCCCCCCCCCCAGCAGCGCCTTCCCTTCTTCAGCGGTCTCTCTTCTCCAGCCGCCTTTTAGGAGGGCCTGAAGAGCAGCCCCCTGCTCCCCCCCTCACCTTGTCTTGTTAATCTGCTTGGTTGGCTTTGAAAAGGTGTTTTAACCCTCGGCCGGTGGTGTCCGTGATGCAAAAGAGAGGCTGCTGTTGAAAGGACGCAGCCCAGATGCTGCCGTTCCCACGCTCCAGCCAAAAGCACAGCCAAGGGGCTGCTTTGATCGGTGCTCGTTCTCCCTACCTGGAGCTCCATCAAAAACAAATTAGGAAAAACCCAAGGCTTTTCTTTTTCTTTGTCTTTCTTTCTTTTTTCTTTTCTTTTTTAAAGGCAAGTTTCAGAGAGTGGTGATTTTGAAGGAGACTATTTGTAGTTCGGGGTTGAAATGAGGGGTCCTGGGTGCTCTCTGAACTGGGTCGTTTCCCTGCAGATGTTTCATGACCCAACTAGGGATCACCATCAGTGCTGGAAGGATTTACAGGGAGGAGGAGGGGGAGGGAAGAAGAAGGAGGAAGAGGACAGTGGAGTCCTTGGGGCTCTCTTGAGCTTGGTTGTTTTCTCACAGCTGTTTCATGACCCAGTTAGATTACATGGTCAGTGCTAGAAGGGAGCAGGGTTGTGGAAGGAGGAGGAGGAGGAGGAGGAGGAGGAGGAGGAAGATTGTGGGGTCCTTGGGGCTCTCTGAGCTGGCTTGTTTTCTTGCAGGCGTTTCATGGCCCAACTAGGTAACATCATCAGCGATAGTAAGGCGTGCAGTTCGCTGTCAGTTTATATTCTAGTGGCTTGCCTGTCTGTGTGGATGTGGGCGGTCTTAGAGATTCTTTGGGTGTTGGCCTCTTTGGCAGCTTCTTGACTGGGGTCTTGTTTGCTGGATTGCTGGTCTGATGCTAACCTTGGAGTTAATCTCTGCTGATCTGAGGGCTGAGGGCTGGTGGAGGGGTGACAGGGTCTTATTTTTGTTCCCTTTGGGGCTGGCTGATTTCCTCTTTTGCATAGTCTGCAGAGGTTAATGCCTATGTGGGTATTGATGGCTGATTTGTCAGAGGGCCAGGCTCCTAGAAATTAATTCCCTGGCGTTTTTGGGCGGGCTAGGACCCCTGGGGGGTAATTCTAGAATAACAAGAGTTGGAAAGGGGCTTAGAGGTCTTCTAGTCTAGCCCCCTTCTTGACTGGGAGACCCTATGCCATTCCGAACAAATGTCTTTTCTTGGAAGACCTCCAACGAAGCCCACTCTTTCCAGCATCCGTTTTATATTGTGCCAACCAAAACTGCATGCAACGTTCCAAGTGTGGCCTTTCTAAAGTATTAAAATACGGCACCGTCCCTTCTTGTAATCTTGATGCCATCCCTCTCTCGATGCAGCTGGACACACACACACACACACACACACACACACACACACACACAGGGGTTTGGCACCATCCTTTTGCATCTTCAGCAAGGCCATGCCTGTTTTTCGTTTTTCCTTTGTGGCGAGGAAAGTCTTTCCTGTGTTTGCTTCTGAGTTCTGGTCTTGGCTTGTGAGAAGATTTTTGGCTGATGGGGACTTTTAAAACCAGGAGTACGACCACACCTTTCTGTTGCTAAGCGAGACAGTTGTTCAGTTTCCAGTGGCCTTTGGTTCCTTGCAAACGGTCATCAGAGATATGATGGGGTTTTTTTTTTTAAGTGTGCTGTTAAGCAAATCGGGCTCCCCCCTCCCCCCCATTGCCTTTTGCTTGTTGGAAGTTGGCTGGCAGGGTCGCCAAGGGGGAATCCTGTGATCTTGGAACATTGCAAGCATCGTAAATGCATGCAGCCTTGCCAGGCAAGAGCCTGGATTTCGATTATGTGACCCTCAGGATGCTGCCAGGGTTGTACGTGTGAGGTATGTGGTTGTAAATCTCCTTTTTTTCCATCGCTATAATAGTAACTTTGAAAGAAAGGAATAGAATAGAATAGAATAGAAATTAGAATAGAATAGAAATTAGAATAGAATTCTTTATTGGCCAAGTGTGATTGGACACACAAGGAATTTGTCTTTGGTACAAATGCTCGCAGTGTACATAAAAGAAAAGATACTTTCGTCAAGAGTCGAGAATCATCAGGTACAACACTTAATGATAGTCAGAGGGTACAAATAAGCAAACAAAGTCCATATAAATCGTCAGGATACAAGCGACAAAGTTACAGTCATACAGTCACAAGTGGGAGGGGATGGGTGATAAGGAGTGAAGACAAGATTAATAGTAATAATAGTGCAGACTTTGTAAATAGTTGAACAGTGTTGAGGGAATTATTTGTTTAGCAGAGCGATGGCGTTCAGGGAAAAACTGTCCTTGTGTCTCGTTGTTCTGGTGTGCAGGGCTCTATAGCGTCGTTTTGAGTGTAGAAGTTGAAAACAGTTTATGTCCGGGATGTGAGGGGTCTGTAGATATTTTCACAGCCCTCTTTTTGACTCGTGCAGGATGCAGGTCCTCCATGGGAAGCAGGTTGGTAGAAATTGTTTTTTTCTGCAGTCCTAATTACTCTCTGGAGTCTGTGTCTGTCCTGTTGGGTTGCAGAGCCAAACCAGAGAGTCATAGAGGTGCAGATGACAAGACTTCATCATTCCTCTGTAGGTCAGTAAATGAATGATGCAAACCGAAGGACAACTTGCAGCTCTCATAATTGTGGTTTAAATTCTTAAAAGAGTGTTTGCGGTTTGAGGCAGAGTATAAATACTGTAAATAAATAAATAAATAAATAAATTACTGTTATGACATCAGGTTAGCTTTTTTTTTTTCATTTTCCTCGTCCTTTAAACTTTGCTGTTTTGAAGGAGGCCGTGTAACATTCTTGACTCTCTGTCATGGCACTGAAACTGCAGGTCACATTCGGATACAAGATTTCTCCATTCTCTCCAGAGACCTTGTTTAAATCAAAGCCACAAGGGTGTTTATGAGATTATTTTTCTGTCCCTCAATGTGGATGGATTCTAAGCTATCTCCTTTATCAGATTTCAGGCAGGAGATAAATTCAATACACCGTGTTTTTCTTTTCTTTTTTTAATATCCCAGCTTCCAAACACATGGGAATATGAAAATCTGAGATGTGGTTCCAATGTCATGTTACCTAAATATTATTTTTTTTCTCTTTCCTTTTCCAGCCAAATCAAGTAGGAAGCTCACTTTCCTATACTTGGCGAACGATGTCATTCAGAACAGTAAAAAGAAAGGACCCGAGTTTACGAAGGAATTCGAATCGGTGCTCGTGGATGCTTTTTCACACGTGGCCAGGTAGGTACAATGCCTTCCTGGCTTGTCTGTCTCTCGTGTGTGGTTGGCTGCTGGAAACCAGGTTTGCATCAGTGCTTTTCACGGAACTCCCCCCTGTTGCAGTTATTCCAAAGGACAGCGGCTTGAGGCTGTGGGGTTTTCTCCTGCTGCTGAAATATTGTGTGTCCTGCTTGTCCCAAAGGGGCTTTTCTTTCCAAGAGGCAACTGGACCTTTCTTGGTTTTTCTTTGAAGACGTTTCGCTCCTCTTCCAAGAAGCTTCTTCAGCCCATGACTGGATGGTGGGGAAGGGAAGGATTGATACTCCTTGCAGACAGCTGGTCCTTTGCATCCTTGTAGAGGGTCGTTGAGGCTACTTGGAGGTTTGTCTGTGACCTCAAGGTGACCTGCGTTGTGCCAATGGTTCCTGTAGTCTGCCGTTTTACTGGAAATCCGTTCATACTGCTACGCCATTTGAAGGGTGTTCATCCCAAATTGTATAGCTAAAAATCTGTAGAGATTCTCAGCCATCCAGGTCACAGATAAACCTTCAAGTGGCCTCAGTGACCCTCCAAAAGGATGCAAATGACCAGCTGTCTGCAAGGAGTGTAAATCTTTTTTACACCTTTTACCACCATCCAGTCAGAGCTGAAGGAGCTTCTGGGATGAGAAGCGAAACGTCTTCAAAGAAAAAAAACAAGAAAAGTCCAGTTGCCTCTTGGAAAAAGCATCTTTGCAACAACCATGACCTGGGTGATGGAAAATCTCTGCAGACATTTGTGTCTTGTGGTGTTTTCCATAAAACGTGGGCTATGTGTCCAGAAGGGCTGCCAATTGGATCTTCCTCTGAAATGTTCTCTTGTCCTTGCTGCAGTAAGAGATGGGAAGAGGTTGCCCAATGTGTGTTTGTGTGTGTGTGTGTGTTTGTGTTTGTATGCAGGTAGCTTTTTTCTGTTTCTCACAGCCTTTGCCATCTTCTGTCAGACTGCAATGACATTGTAAGATGCAGGTTTTGGTGTTTGTGTGTTTGTGTGTGTGTGTATGTGTTAGGGTTTTGGGAATTAACCCCTAGCAGAGTATTGCAGCAGTAGTCAAGCCAGGCAACCAAAGGAGAGCGGAAGGGCCCCAGAGTATACACACACTGAACACAAACACTGTTTGTAGTTTAAATAGTTTTTAATCCAGTTAGAGTTTAAGCATTGTCATTCAGTCCATTAAGTCATTCACAGTATTTCCATCCAGTAAGACTCACTAGTATAGTCCAAGTTAAGAGTCCTTGCAATATCTTTATCAGCCGATAAAGATATCTTCTCCTCCTCCGGTTTCACTCTCCAGAGAAACAAACGCTGGATATTCAGCAAACAGTAGCAAACAATAACAGTTCAGTCACAGGCACTCACAGTCAGTAATCACAGTTAGTCGCAGCAGCACACAGTTACAGTTACAGACAGACAGAGTAAGCTTTCCAGCTTCTAATGCTTCCTTATATTGTAACTTCTAACCGCACCCTTAATCGGCTAATTGCCTGC